TTCTTTTATCGCGGCATCTGTTTCGAGCCCACTTTATACCGGGAATTGTTATGGTTCGAAAATAATCCATTGATCGAAATAATGGATTTCGTTTCATGAAGCTTCTTTGATCGGATTCTGAATTATGGAATGTAATGAATAATCGAATTGCTTCTCCTTTTACGATATTATTCAATGATTTCTTTAATAATGCTTTTCGATTTGCAAACGAATTTAAATCGTTTGAAATCATTTATTCGAACTTTTAAGAGTAGATATACAAAGCTAAATTGTTGAGATATATTTTTCGTTTTTGCAATTATGATACGTGCTTTTAAGAAGAATAAACGTCTTACAAAAAATATTAAATTATTATGAGAATACTCTTGAGATAATTACTCGAGTTAAATGATCCACTCGATATCTAAGTATTCACATAATAATCATTCTAATTTTAGTGTTAAATTCGATTTTAAAACACTCTTTGCTTAAATCTTTATTGCTTAAAGATTTACATGAGAATCGAAGAAAATCAAATTTTCTCGATCGACTAATTTGCGACGATAGCCTATTCGTAAACTAAATAATTAAACCTTTAATAACAATTAGATTTATGCTTTCCACTTGGTAATAAGTTAATTAACAAGGAAGAACAGCTCTTCGTTTAATTCTTATCGAACTATAATATTCCGTTCTCATTACAGACTCTGAAGAGAAGAGTCGAGAATCGTCGAGGTGACGACGTCGCCGTTAGTTTGTAGACATTTTTGATCCATCGTGCTGACGCGCATGAAGTTAATTAGTGTCGAGTCATCTTTCTATTGTAGCTATCCTAGGACGAAAACTGTTTTCCAATATGAAAGATCGATGACCCAGCGTTTTTACTCGAGATTGTCCCAATAACGTCGTTTAAAGAAAATCAAACATTTTCATTAAAATATATTCACCCGACAGAATTTCATCTCATAAATTCAAACATTGCAAAATTCTATTTATTCATCTAATGACGTGTAAAATTATTTGAACGCGATATGCAAAATTTCAAATTTTCCAACTCGCTAGTAATGAAATTCATGGGACAACGTATGAATTTCACTACTGGCCAGATATATATTATCATGTTTCAAATTCGAAATTTGCCTTCCCTTTATCCCGTTACAGATGTACACATCGCGAAATTCTATTTAAAATACATTTAATCACAATGCATAAAATAGAAACCACCATTCTAAACCACCATTTTCGTCCTATTGCGCGAGCACGAGGATCAAAATCCTAGGCTTTCCAGTTCACTAATAAAATTCATGGAATACGGTAAATCGGTGGAATAAACAGCTTAGCAAGAGTGTTGGCGTTCAGTTAATCGCGTACAAAATAAGGAAATGACTCGAATGAAATTTTATAAGCAGTTTCTGTAACGTGCAGCCGCCATGTTCGCATGGCGCGCCGGCTGCACTTTACATGCACGGGAAATTCGTCAGAAAGTTTCCATCGGCGATTAATCAAACGAAATTCACTCAAAGACCTTCTAAGATTGACGTTAAAACAAATAGCCTGGTAATTCTCGCGTATCCATTTCTCACTTGCCTAGCATAAGAATTTTTATCCCTAGATATCGTGAGAGAATTCGATTAATTCGGTCAACGTGTCCTAATGGAAATTTTTTAACGTTTCTACTCGCAAGAATTTCGCGTTTCACCGCGATACGATTCATTTATCGATCGTGAAATAATATACCGAGGAATAACGAGAATCGAAACGTTTCTCAAAGGCCTGCTTGTTTTCGCGTTGGCGAAAATGTAACACGTGTCTCGTGCAATTACGTTGCGTGCCAAATAGCAAACAGAAAACAGACGGAGATTTTCGCGAAATTTATAACGAGAGGCGCGAGATCTTCGTGAAAAATAAAATAATTGCGATAATATACGATAGAAGGACGAATGGAAAATTTAATAATCCAAAGTGCATCCTAGCCTTGTACGCACTCTTTTTTCGATAACGTTTTAGACTTGGCACGACGTGGACATCCGATATCTATTTAATTTTCTGTTTCATTCTGGTACACGTGTACGTGTGTTAAAAAAGGAAATAAAACTTTATAGTTGAAACGTGCGGAAGGATAATGATTCTCGTCAAAGGTGCTGTTCGCCACTCCGATATCGATAAAACGACCACATTAAATGAAAAAGTTATTCGATGTAGAGCGTATTTTTTAAATCGAAACCCTCGACATTACGATAGTTTATTAATTTAAAGAGATATTTATGAAAAATGTATTACGCGGCAAATGTAAAAATTCGTACACGAATTTTCGTGGAATACTAAATATATTCGACGTCAAACGAATACCTTTCCAAGTTTAGAAATTCGTGAAACGATTTTTCATTTCTGCAAATTACGAATAATTTTCAATGGCTCAGCTATTCGATCCATTGTTCAAACTATTCTTCGAACAATATTTTTTTCTACTTAAATAACTTGGAAAGGTTCAATGACTTTAAAAAAAAAAAAAAAGAAATAACTGAGAATTTCGTTCTAAAGATATCTAAGTACTTTGTACATCTCTTAGCCGGTGTTAACCACTAAAGTACGCATTCCTGGATAACAAATACACATAGAATAAAAGGTTAATGAACTCTTACTTGTTGGTCTTAGCCCGAGCCATGTTGTCCCAGCTACGAACAGGGCTGTTCAGCTTGCTGAAGGACAATTCCCTCGATAAATAGGCAGAGCAGTGCCAGCTGTGCCTCCAGAAGATACTTCCGCTCACCCTTTCACGATTCTTCAGCGACGACACCACACCTTTCTCACTCATTTCACTTTTCCCTTCACGATAATTTCCCTCTCGTCAAACACGATACACACGTTCACACTTCATCGTATTATCCGATTACTCTACGTAACTTTTACTTTTATACTCGGAATATTACTCGTTCAAATTTCAAAACATCCGGTTCACATTTTGACGTTCATCGATACGTCAAATTTTGATTCTCGATGTTACAATATTTGGACACGTTCATGGAACTCAGTTTTTCTTTTCTTTTCCTTCTTTTTTTTTTTTTTTTTTTTGTTATCCGACTCGACGTATTATTGATAGGGGCCGTTATCAATCATCGAAAATTCGTGCCGCGAGCTTCACATTTTTATCGTGGCGCCACGGAATCGCGGTCGAAGGCTCGTTTTTATCGCGAATTTTCCGAACACCGAGACGTTTTCACGTTCGCGACGCATCTGTACAGGAAACAGAGAGAGAGAAAAAAAAAAAAGATATTGACGAATGCATCCAAGGAGGAAATGATGGAGTTTGGCGATCGAATCTAGAGTCGTCGTCCTCACGAAAAGTTTTACCAAGTTCCCGGAATTCCTGTACGTGACCGGTTTCACGTACGATACACGATCAAAGTATAAGCCTCGAAGGACTAACTTAACGTCTATCGTGAACTACGTATGTACTATGTACGTACTACGACGTACGTACATACGTCTTCGTCCACAGGAATGTTTATTTTACAATCATTTAATTTTTTAACATTTATAGTCGAACAGTCGAGCTCGAAGAATTTCTTTAGAATTTTGAGCTATCCTATCATTATAGTAGCTTTAAGAAGTATTTTTCCATGTTTTTTTTTTCTATTTCGCATTATTGTAATTATTGTGTTAATGCTATAATAGATACAACTTCTAGGTGAAAATACTTCTTGAAACTACTTTTACTTTTTGTGTAAATGACGAAAGTATCGAAAATATAAAAATATAATATTTTACGGGATTTATAATGGGGAAAAGAAGAAAGAAGAGAAGAAAAATTATTGACTTTTTAATCTTTTTATAATTTTATTACGTCCTTCCGACACATTTGCTATTTAATCTTGTTTTCCTACGATTAAAAAGTTTTCCAAGCTTGTGGAAAATATTAGAAGGCTCCCTTTAATTAACAAAAGTTTTTATTAGAATATTAAAAGTGCTTTTTTTTAATGAAACGAGAATGAGATTGAGATATAAAAATTGAAGAACCATGATTAAGTTAACCCTTAAAAGCTACTACTAAAAGAGAACAACTTAACAAAATTTGCCTACGAAATCTTTATGAAATTTTATGATACCCCCATAAAAAACTTAAAGATAATTAAACTTCTTTTATATAATAATTGATTTTATAACTTCAATATATTTTCGAAGAGGAATAAAACGGTAAAGATGAGAACATGATCTTGCAAGTGCTTTAATACACAAAAAAATGTTCGATATTTCCCGATTGTTTTTACCGTTTCTCGTCTGTTTCAAGCTAATGGAATTGCTGGGACCAAAAAGATTTCTGATGTTCACGATGTGATGGAACGGTCAATACGGAAAACCGAGGTCGACGTTAACCAAGAAGAGCCGAATGAACCGCAAATCGATCGTTAGACAATACCGGTCGAAAATGATTAAACTTCCAATTAATACGATGGAATTTCTAAAGAGGAATTTCAAAATTTCTCGAGACAATCGTAGAATTTGAAATATTTTTTAGAATTTTGGAATATTCAAGTACCATTGAAACGAATTCGTTTAATTAAAAAGGAAAGCATCGTTTTCGAAAGATCTAAATTCGAATTTCAATTCAAAATTTATATAAAAATAAACGAAAAAATTTGAGACTCGAATAATAATCATTTGATTCGATATCATTTGATTCGATATCAAACCAAAGAATTATCATTTCATTTAAAAATGAAATGATACGAGAATTAAATTATCTATAGTTATGGATGATTCATGTACTTGGAAGAATGTCGAAGGAGCAAGGAATAGAAGATTATCTGTGGACACTTTCTTTGTTGATTTTTATTTCCGCTACGCAATATGAGTAACGTTCAAAGAATCGTTAGTTAACAATAAGCGGAAGATACGAAAGACGAGCCACGAATGCGTTTAATCCGAGAGCGAGGACACAAGGTGAACAGGTTTACGAATGCAGGTCCACGAGAATCGACCTACTCCTACTCTCGATGGACTTGCGAATATATTTTTGATTGTTCAAGGATAGTCGATCTTGGACATCATTCTACGTAACGCGAAATTGACTCTCTTTCTCACGAAAACAAAGTCGAGTCGATTAGTAATCGTATTTATATTTACTTCCTACTACCGAATTTCTTTCGTTAACTACGATTCTTCGAATTTTACGATTCTTCGACGACGTAAATAAACGAAGTAAACTAACGAAACGCGTTTTTCGTTTCACTCTCGTGTAGGAAAATTACGTATGACGAAATGAATCGATCGATATTGGCAATGGCAACGAATTTAAGGAATATATGTTTGATATAATATATATCTACCAACGTTTATACAAACGACCTAGTAACTATCGATTGATTCATTAATTATGCAATATCAGAGTCGAAACGAAGCGTCGGATGGTGTAATTTAAGCAGGAAAAAAGCAATACGATTTTTACGTGAAAGGGAACAACGCTAGAGAATAAATATAAAAGGTTATTTCGAAACACACGCAACGAGGCGCGATGATAAATCGATACGCGACACGTAACTGCGAAATATCGTTTCGAATCACATATATAAACATTTCAACGATATCTCTACTAACAATCAAACAAATCGAACGAAAAAGAGGGGAAAAAGAATTCGTTTTACTCGTTCGAAAAGGACGCGTCGTTGTCAAGATTCGATCACCATTCGATTCGAGTTTAAAATATAGGGGAAAAAATTTTTTAATCCCGGTTTACCGTGAGCCGGTACCGTTTGATTCGTGCGTCGGCGGACGTTTACGAAAAATAGTAAAAAATATTGGATAAAAAGTGACATACCGCATCGAGGATTTTTAGGATGACTGGTAAACAAAATGCGCGTGGAGGGATGCGCAGAAAAGTGAAGAGGAACACGTTGATAACGAATGATAAGCGCACGTAACAAAACCAACATGTAAACGAGTCGACGGCGCGCGGTGTACTGGCGTCTCGATCGCAGCGCCGCGCCAATACACCGGCGCGGTAGAATGCGCCGTAGCAACCACTTGGTACTGAGCCGGTTTTCTACCGGCAGCCACTTGTTTCGTGCATAGAAACACGATGCATATTTAAATCGATGCGCGCGACTTTGATTATTCTTAAAATATATTTATTCATTCAATATATACTTTGATATTCGATCCTTAAATGTAAATGATTCTTTTAGAAATATAAATTTATATTATGCGAAAATTTAATAATTCTTTTTGTTTATATTTAAATTGTAACCAAGAAAATTTTGTTATTTTTGTTGCAGAAAAGGAAAAATATACAGATTTTTATTCGTTTAATTATTATTTTAAATTTAAATTATTTTAAATTTTTTTAAATAAAATTTTCTCTACTTATAATTATATTTTGATTTAAAAGTTACGATTTTTTTTTCTTTTTTTTATAATAATGTGAAATAAGAACCATAAATAGTTTTCTATTTTATTACATTTTGTTGATATTGTTGATTTTCTTTATAAACAAACAAACAATCATAATTAAAATTAATGAATCATAATTAAAATTATCAAAGAATACGAATACATAAAATGCAATTACAGTATTTCTAAAGTTCTGAAATTAAATATCCAAGATATTTGCGTCACGATATTCTATACATTTGCGAGATTCGATATAAATAATTTCAAATACGTAAAAACTCGATATCAATAACTTCAGACAGAAGCAAATAAGAATAGCCTTCGGCTTGTAGGATTTGATACAGATATCTTATAGATTCGAGAAATCGGAGAAGATTGAAAGTCCTAAAGAAGAAACGATGCACTTGAATAATTTAAGCTATTCGAATAATCTTTCTTAAAAAAAATTCTTAATAATTGTATCTTGTATTCTTAAGAAATTTATATTTCTTCTAAATTTTATACAACATTAAATTCGATACTTTTCAATTATTCACCTTATACAATGGATAGTACTTTATTCACTGCCAACGCACACGCGATAAGAATTATATTAATAGACTCTGGTTCGAAAGGAAAGTATATTAAATCTCGTGAGTTTCGAGTTTCCTAGAATCCTTTCTTTTCATGTTCACATTCATTCTCGATATTGACTTGTACGTGCTTGTATCTCAAATCTTTCGCATTCTACGTGATCAAAATCCTCTGTACCAGGACTTACGTGATCATAACTGTTAATATATATAACACGAATAGTTATTGCCACTCGCAGATTTATTATTAAGTTCAATATTTGATCAAATACCATTTCCTATATTTGAATTTTTCTGTACATTTCTTTATTTTATTTTCTTTTTCTTTTGATCTCTAAGACTTGTGAAAAAATGCGAAATATATAATAAATATAGAATAAAAAGATCCAAAAAATATCTTTTTGTTTTATCTTTCTTTTTTTTCTTCATCATTTTTCATTGGTAAAAAGACCAGGAGTAGATGCCAGTTTTATCTGCTTTTCTGGCGACCTCATTTTATCTTCTCAATTTTTACGAGACCAACAGTTCGTGAGGATGATTCTTTTCTTTTTTTTCATTTTCCTCCTGTTTTTTCTCTTTCACTATGTTGAGCTTTCTTTATCGTTCGTGAATCGAGCTAGTTTTCGAGGATTCGTTTCGTTACGTCCTTAATTCCACAGATCACAAAGAACTTTCAAACTTGTGGAGCAACTTGTAAGATTATTTCGATATCGATGATAATTATGATAAAGACGAGAGACAGGAAAGATAGTCTTTTTAAATGAAAAATGTTGAATGTTTTGATACATGTAAAATCGAAAAAAGAACCTGAAATATCTCAAAATTTTCGATAAACCTAATTCTTTATTGAATTAGAAAATACTATTATATATGTATTTTCTAAATAAATTTTAGAAAAAATATATATAATATAATATGAGAAGAAACGAGATATCAATTTTTACATTTATAATTTAATAAAACTATAAATAATCCAATATCTCTTCAAAAATATTTTTTATTCGATCAAGATTCTACGAATAAATCACAAGTGCCAATAACTATCACTTGTACACGTTCAATTAGCAACGATTCGAAAAATTTTTATCAAGACTATCGCCGATTAATCACGTCCATGTTCGATAGATTCTGACAAACTTATGAATCATGATTCGTTATGCCATCTACTATTACACAGACGTTCCTTATCACACCTACTATATTCAAACAATTTCTCATTAGATTGTTCAAACGCATTTCTATCCAACCTTCATTCCAAACAGAATAAAACTGTTCCCAACAGAATCTATTCAAATTTGCAATTTTCCAAATTGTGCGTGTATATTCGCCACATGATAAGGGTGAAGCGTCAAAAATATTCGTAGAGAAAAAAGTTTCTCTAATCGCAAAAGAATTCAATGCAAACTCTAAGCCAATGATCATCCAGTTACCGATTTACGATTGATCATGGTGAAATTTCATTAGAACAAGACTTGTCGAAGTCGAGATTAGATCAACGCATACTTTCTGCGTATCGTAATACAACCAAGTCTTAACGTCCAATCTGGTGGAACAAAGGCGCGTAACGTTCATTACATTCGGTCGTTAATATCAGACGTCTGCGCCAGGTATGCGTGTGTAGGCGCTACACCAAATGCACCACGACTTGCAATTTGCATTCAAGACCGCTTCAAACTAATCCCTGCTTTCGACCTATATATATATCATGTAAACGACATTTACGTCGCCTCGATATAAGCGCTTTCGAGCCACTCGTTACTTACGCTATTTACGATCATTTAGTTGCACCATTTTTCGTTAATACAACCATTTTTTCACACTTTTAACTAACACGTTCAAAGAAGAAAAGCTAGAACCGATAAATATTCAGATTTTATTCGAAGACAGAAAGTTTGGAGTAAATAGAAGCGAATAATAATAATAATCTTCAAAAATCTTTCTTTGTAGAGTTTTCGATCGAAAAAAAAAAAATAATTCGAATGCTTTTATTCGAAGGAATAGAAATTTCCCGATGAACTTTCCAAAATCTATCCTGAACGACAAAGATATTCGAGCATATTTCTTCAAAACTATATTCACCAACTCTTTTTGGACACCACTCGAATTAATCTGCCGCAAGAACGTTTTGGTTCCATCTATCTCATCAGATTCATTGATTTACGGATGAATTACGAGGAACAGGACACGTTTATTCTTAACTGAGACGCGCTTTTCTCTCTCTCTCTCTCTCTCTCTCTCTC